TCGACCGCATAGCCCCCAGCCAGGATTTTGCGGAAGAGGTTCTTGTCGTGGTTCTCATAGTCTTCCTCATCTGCCTCCTCATAGAAGGGGGGGTTCCCCGAGAGGCTGGGGGACAGGGCGGGGGGCTCAACCTGGCCCCTGGTTCCTGGCCCCCCGCAGCCACCCCAGCCCTCACCCCGCACTCACAGGATGTACATGATGACACCGATGGCCCAGCAGTCCACTGGCCGCCCGTACCGCTGCCGCCCCACCACCTCTGGAGCTGCAAGGGACAGGAGAGTGGCCCTGCCCTGGGGTCCCCAATCCCCTGGCCCCTCGCCCCTGGGGTGACGGGGAGCAGGAGGGACCCATCGGGAGCACCCAGGATCAGTCCCCGGGGTGATGGGGAGCAGGAGGGACCCACCGGGAGCACCTGTGACTATCAGGAGGGACCCGATGGCAGCCCCCAGGACCGGTCCCCAGGGTGGCAGGGAGCATCAGGCACCTGCTGGGACCCTGGCAGTGCCACCCAACCCCATGCACCCGCCTGGCTGGTTCTCACCCACCCAGGTACTCAGGGGTGCCGCAGGGCTCCTTGATGAGCCCGTTCTCCAGCTTGGCCAGGTGGAAGTCGCTGATGACGATCTTGGAGTTCTTCAGGCGGTTATAGTACACCAGGTTCTCCAGCTGCCAGCACAGGGGCTGTGAGTGCCGGGGCGGGGGGCACACCAGCACCCATGGGTGCTCCCACCCCACCACCACCCACCTTGAGGTTCCTGTGGACAATCTTGAGTGAGTGCAGGTAGGCGACGGCCTCCAGCACCTGCCGGATGACGTTGCTGGTGTCCCTCTCCGAGTAGTAACCCTGGTCCAGGATCCAGTCGAAGACCTCCCGGCCAGTGGCCCTGCGCCGGCAGCTCTGCTGAGACACGCCCCCCCGCGGCGGGGGCACCCGCAGCCAGACCCCCCCCATACCCCCCAAACTTACAGCTCCAGGAAGATGAAATACTCCTTGCGGGTGATGTAGACATCCACCAGCTGCAGGATGTTGGGGTGCTTCACCCTGCAGAGAGACAGGGTGAGGGTGAATGGGGGGTCCCCGCTTTGTCCGGTGGCATGGGAGCCCCCCCGACCCCGGCACTCACATTTTGAGGATGATGATCTCGTTTTTGGCTGCCTTCCGCACTTTCCGCCCGTCCCGCTTCAGAAACTTCTTGCAGGTGTACAGCTTCCCCGTGGTCTTCTCCTTGGCCCGGAAGATTTCGCAGAACTCCTCCCTGGAAGGGCGCCCGCAGCCGTCACCCCCCCCAGGGACCGCCGAGCTTGGAGTGCTCAGGTGGTCCCTGGGCCCACCAGCATCCCCTCCATCCCAGTGGTGAGGGGAGATGCTGCAGGGTGGAAGGAAGCTGCGGCTAAAAACCTCTCCAGAGCAGAGACGGGCAAAAAAAAAAAAGCGCAGTGAGAAGGAATCGACGTGGAATAAGCAAATTGATAGTGAAGGGGGAAAATTTGCTGATTAAACCCATCCCTGTGGCAGCTGGGGGAGGACCTGCTGCCCAGCTGCCTGTGCCGAGCCAGAACAGCAGCACGCCCCGACATCAATGCGAGCGCGGCAGTCAGGAAGAAAGAAGGGGAGACGCGCCGGTTGCCCGGGGATGCTGCAATATTTCTGTTCTATTATTAATGGTGCTCGAGCCCATCGGCCGGGCAGGAGCCATGGGGGAACCCACGGGGGGCACTCAGCACCGCTCCGGCAACACCTCTCGCTTTCCAACCCCTCCCCGGCCACGCCAAAACCCTCATGGCCGCTGCCCTGGGTGCAGGGGAACTGGGACCCATGGGCTTCAGGACAGGCTGCCCAGAGGATGGAGCAAAGCTCTGAGAGCACCCAAAAAGGTCCCCGCTGCCACCCAGTGTTATCCTGCCAGGCGTGACCCATGGTCAAGCAGTCCCGGTGTTTCAGAGACCGACAGAAAAATTTCTGGTACGTGTTTTGGGGTCAAACCACTCTTAATGGGTCTGAGGGTTACATTTTGTGGAGTGCTTCCTAATGGGTCCCCCAGCACAGCAGTTAAAGTTGGGGGGAGGCAGCGATGCTCCACTCCCCTCCTAAATGACATCTGCCCTTTCCTTTGCTGGAGTGGAGCCCTCCTGCTTCCTGGAGCGCTCGGGGAGCTGGGATCGCGTGGAATTGCTGCAATCCCCGCAGATCTTGGGGGGAGGAGGGAAGGACACGGGGAGCCACCCAGCTGCAGCCAGCAGCAGCAGGGAAACCTTGTTGCCCTCCTCGGAGCCGGCAGTGAACACCCCCATGCGCCCGCCAGAAAGAGGGATTAATTAGGGAACGGCCACCCTGAAATGCGCCCTGCCGGTCCCAGCTGGGGACCGGCAGGGCGCATCGCGCTGCTCCTCAGCCTGAGACACGAACGCGGTTGGGGTCCCCGGGGCAGCCCCGGGGCCGGGGAGGCACCAACTCACGTTTTGATGACCTGGCCCAGGTCATATCTGTGTCACCTCGGGGACGGCTGGTTATAATCTTTCTTGTCTCCCAGCGTCACACAGCCAAACGGCATCGCAGGGCCCGGTGCCGGACAAGGCGGGGCGGCGGTTTGTGCCCCCTGGCTGCTGCAAGCCGCCGTGCGCCCAGCCCCACCGATGTGCGTCCATCCCCGTGGCGTCCAGCCGCTCTGCCTGGGCTCCGGCTGCCGGCACGGCCGCAAGCCGGCTCCTTTGGCTCTCGTTTGCGGATCATTAATGATACATAAGTAGCCAGGGCTAGCGCAGAGCCCAGAGCACCCGCTGGGGAGGCAAGCAGAGACGAACCGACCCTTTCCCGTTTCTCAGCCCGGTTTTGCCCCGCAGTGACATTTCTGTAGCCGGGGCTTCCCCAGGCAGAGCACCGTCGCACACTGTCACATGTGCAGCGACTTAACACCAGCCTCAGCTTCCCGACTCTGACCAGCCCCGACGGCCTCACTGCAGCACCGGGCAGGCAGGCACCGCGGTTTGGCAGTGCCAGCCATCCTGCTGCCAGCAGCGGGCAGGACACCGGCCCCGGCACGTGCCGGCTCCTCCGGCCTTTTAGGAACAACGTTTTGCCCCTTGCTTTCCTGCCAAGAACCCTTTGAAACCAGACCCTACTCAGAAGCTTCCCAGCAAAAAATTGGTCCCATAAAGTTATTTTTTTCCCTTTCCTACCCCATTACTGAGAGGAAGTTTCAACTGATGTTATTTTCTGACGGCTCAGAAGGAAGAAGGGCTCCCAGGTCCCCCCAGCCCTCTCAAACAGGCCCGAGTGGGACCCCACGATGGGATGCTGGCACAGCACTGGAGGCACCCATCGCCCGACGCTAAAGCTCCCAAAACACCATTCTGCGACATGCCAGTCTCGCCGTGCTGTGCCGGCAGCACCCGGAGCCCGGCGGCAAGGGCCACGGGCAGGATGGCAGCGCGGGATGCGGGAGCCGGTATCGCGGGTACCCAAGCACCGAGCCTGTTGCTATGGCAATGGGAGCTGGAGATGCAGAAAGCGGCACATCCTTTGGAGGGGGCAGGGACGGGCAGCACCCGGCAGCACCCAACCCACCTGCGGGTGCACGGCCCTGTCCCCGCCACGCAGGCCCTGGGAGGAAGGTGGTCCTGCCCGCAGCACCCAGGGCATGCACCTAAGCGCTCCCTGGGGTGATCGACCCCAAATCTGGGTGGGACATGGGCGCAGTGAGCCAGGGAACGGGGGGATGCTCCTTCCTGCCTCCATCCCTCGGGGTCAACCTGCCTCTGTGCCTGCCCGAGTGATGCCCGCAGGATGGGTGCTCCCACCTCACACGACACCCGGGCACCCTCCTGCCGGGAAAGCCCATGCCAGGCAATAGCACCCGTCCCCGTCCCGCTCAGGGTGCACCCACTCCCAAAAGAGAAGCAGAGCACCCATGGGACACCCTTCCCCGTGCCACAGACCGGTGAGCCTTTCCAGCCCACGTTCAGCTCATACCAACAGCCTCCCCGGCAAACGTGCCCTGCCTGGCACCTCTGTGTCCCCGTGCTATGCGACGCCAGCTCTGCCGTGCCACCGTGCCTGGCCGAGGGAGAGGGAGGGCTGTCCTGCCAGGTGCTGGCGTGGCAGTGGGCTCGGTGCCGCGGGCCAGCAGAGGCAGAGCTGGCCTGCGGGCGGGCGGGAAGGCTGCCAGCGCCAGCGGTGTGATGCCAGGATTAGCCGGGAAGGGGACCCGGGCGGGATGATATATCGGGATTTTATTGCTCTCTCTGCGAGCACTCAGCTAATCTGCGCTCATAAAATTAGTTCCTGTTGATTTAGCGGGGACCCATCCTGCCAGGGCTGAGCACTGGCACCCACCCCTGCCCCAGGCTGGCTTGGGGTTTCCCATGCCCCGGGCGTGGTTGGTGGGGGGGGTGGCTCAGTGCACCCGGGGTACCCAAAAAGGGAGGCAGGCACCCAGCCCCACATCGGGGCCAGCCCCTGCGTCCCACAGGGGAGAGCGACCCCGCTGTGGCAGGGGCACCCAGGCAAGGGGTGGGCGAAGGGGTGAGTGCTCCCTCCCTGGGGTGCTGGGGGGAGAAGGCTGGGTGCTGCACGGGCACCCGCGCGCAGCCAGCCCCCCCTCCCCAAAAGCGTCTAATTTGGGAGCAGAAGCAACAGCGGGTGTAAGACAATAGCGGGGAAGTGGGTGGCCGGGTGCGGACGACACGGAGGGATGACGCAGCCACGCAGCCCTCGCCAGCGGGGCCCCCCAAACCCCCCGAGCCCCCTGAGCCCCAGCTCTGCCCCACGGTGCGGGGGGGCACCGGCCGGC